CATCTGCCTCATCTGTCCCCAAAAGAGTCCAATCGCCATGTTTGCCAGGTGTAATCTGGAGTAAACTCGGGGTTTAGCGACCCTGAGCACGTATCAGCAGAAGGAGGAGACGGATGGATGTGTTGGCTGCAGGTGGGAGTCGTTTTCTGAACGAATAAATCAGTGTTTTTCAACCACTGTGCCTCGGTACACTAGTGATGGTCAGGTGTGCTGTAGAAAATCATCCTATTTCACCTAATTGGTCTAAAAAGACTTTTTGATAAGGAATTAATTATCTACAAATAATATGACATTTCTGAGTGTGTGTGCTGTTCTAGTGACTGGTGGCGTAATCATGTAATAATTCCTTATGACTAGAATTTGTATATAATTTTGTATATTGAAGTGGACATGTTAAGAGCAATTTGAAAGAAGAAATATAAAATATGATAAAAATAAATTTTTGTGTTTATCATATATATCATTAGTTTCCCTCACCCCGACTGTCAGAGACTTTGAGAGGAAAAAGAATCCACAGAGAGGCAACTTTGGCCTACATCTTTGAACCAAAATCCCAGAAGATTTGGGAGCAACAGAGTTGCCTTTTTAACATTAAATTAAGTCTATTTTTCTTTTTATAATTCATTTAATGGTTAATTAATGTGGTTACTTTATAATTCAAAGAAACGGTTTAATTAATCTTCAGCAAGGCTTCTAATTTAACTGAATTTAAATCAGATGATTAATCAAAGTAAGTCAGTTTTTGAAAAGAAATGTTTTCATTTTGTTTTTTCATTCACTTTTTTTGTGTTATATTTCCACATTTAGAATGACAAAAATGTCTCATTTTCTAGTCCTGCTGTTTTTTCTCATTATGAATTTATGAAACCTTTAATATTCCTTCTTTATTGAGTCTTTTTTATTTACAACAGTCATTTATTGGTTTGTATGAACAGGGCTGTGGCCCCCGGGGGTCCATTGCTATGTTTACTGTGTAAAACTGCTTTATTCTGTTTATGTAAAGAACACCGAAGTGTCTTTTAAGTTACCGAAGGGCTCAGCTCTCTCACAGCTCCAGATATATTATTTTTCATATTGACATACATGGTGTGAATTCCCTTATCTTATAATCTGCTCCTATTGCTGCCAGAAGGAGAAAAAATGGATCAAATAAGGTGGGAGCTGCTGGGAACTTGAATAAATGATAAAAAAAACATTAAAGATTAAGCAAAAAAGGAACAAAAGCATTTATAAGAGGGTCTTGTTTTGGGTTGGTCGTCTTCAGTTTGGACACCAGAAGCTTTGTTTTTTCTCAGAAAATGTAAATGAGTGAAGGATGTTTCTGTTAACTCGTGACAGTTAGTTAGGGTCAGGGTTATGGTTTGGAAATTGTTTGTCTTCCGATTTCGTATAGACAGTAAAGTTTAGTTTCCACCTCAGAAAGCTGCTAGTCACATTTTTTGTATTTTGAATTTTTTTTTTGCATTTTGCTCTCTGTGGGCAACTATTTTGCCCTGTAAGCTGCTGGTCACTTTAATATTCTGAGAGAGTTTTCCCAGGGGATCAATAAAGTAAAAGTTTAAGTCTAAGTCTAAGTCTAAATCTAATCAAAATGGCCGACTTGGATGTGGGAGGAGTCTGATATCCAGACAGAGGCTTTTCCCGTGGAAACGAGGCCTTTAAAAAAGGTTGTGAATGCTGTTTTTCTCTTTCAGCAGCACAGATTATTTCACATGTGTGCTTTAAGCCTCCGAACAGGATTTTACATTCTGTTTCCTCTCATCAAAAAGAAGCTCAACGCTTGTGTAATACGTTCTAAAAGGAGGAAGCAGAAGCAACCTAAAATATCCCTACAGGAATATTACGACTGGAGATTTATAGAAATGCCTCGGGGAACGATTGGGATTCCTTAGAGGAATATTTTATCTGGAATAACCGGCTGTTCTGGCCTAATTAGAGCTTTTGGTTTAACCCTTTAAAGCCTGATCCAAGAAAAATAGGAAGAATATTGGATTTATTTAGTCTGAAGTCTTTCTATGGCCTCTCAACAACATATGAAGAAAAAAAAAGAAATTATTTTGATCAAATTAGCGTGCAATAAGTCAGAAATATATGTTGGTGTAGTCTTCTACTGGCTGTTATCAGGTATATCTGAATGTGTACAACAGGGGTTTGAGCAAAGCTTTTACCACTGAATGATGCAGAAAGTCTCAGATCCAAAAGAAACCGGATCAGATATGACACATTTGGCTTTATAGGGTTAAGAGTCTACTTGAATCAGAAAGATGGACGTGAACTGGTTGCTGATTGTTGTGCATCCCGGCCTCAGGCCTGCAGGGGAGCTGCAGAAAAACTAATTATCCCTGCAATCAAATTCAAGTACGGAGGTTTTAAAAGGTTCAATCGGATCTTTAAAATCTTAAAATGGTCCAAATGAAGCTGAGGAGCCAACAGGGGGGGATCAGTAACATGTGACCTCACCAGCCTGATCCAAGAATAAAAAAAAACTGAAAATTACCTTTTTTTGGTTTGATTTCCTTATTTGGCCTTTTAAGAAAATATGTAAAAACAAAAAACAGAAATACATTTTTAATATGAATAATTTATTACTATGCGATAAGTCCAGATTATTTTGTATAGTCTTCTGCCCCCTGTTATCAGGTGTATCTGATTGTGTACAATAGGATTTTGAGCAAAGTTTTTACCATTAAATTATGCAAAAGGTGTCAGAGGGAAAACATTTCAGAAACAGTATGAATCAGGTGTGATACATTTGGCATTTTAGGGTTAAAGTAAATTCCCCAAAATTGAATGCAGCAGAAGGAACAATTTCTGTTATGTTCAGAAACACAAATGGTTTTGATTCCATTTAAATAATTTCCCTGCAGAAGTGCTTCTGTTATTGAAACATTAGAGCCACAGACTGGGTGCTTTACACTTGAAAGTTGCAGAAAGTTGTATAAATGTTGACTCTAAGAACATAAAACCTGTCAGGGTGTGAGAAAACACAAAGAACCAAAAGAGAAAAATGTCCAGGACAACACCCCCATGAATGCAGGTTAATGGGCTCTCCATATTTGTCTCTGCACTTAACCCTTTAAAGCCTAATCCAAGAAAAATAAGAAGAATATTGGATTTTTTTAGTCTGAAGTCTTTCTTTGGCCCCTCAACAACACATGAAGAAAAAAACTGAAATTATTTTGATCAAATTAGCGTGCAATAAGTCAAAAATATATGTTGGTGTAGTCTTCTACTGGCTGTTATCTTTTATCTGGGTCCCACCATAAAAAGAAAACAGGGAGAAAAACAAACTGCCTCCAAGTCATGGTGTTATATCCCAACATAGCTGTGTATTAGTGTAAAACAATCATTTTTAGCTTGGACATCCACCATCAAGCTAGTTTTTTTAGTCTGAATTCTTTCTTTAGCCCCTCAACAACATATGAAAAAAAAAAACAGAGATTATTTTGATCAAATTAGTGTGCAATAAGTCAAAAATATATGTTGGTGTAGTCTTCTACTGGCTGTTATCAGGTATATCTGAATGTGTACAACAGGGGTTTGAGCAAAGCTTTTACCACTGAATGATGCAGAAAGTCTCACATCCAAAAGAAACCGGATCAGATATGACACATTTGGCATTATAGGGTTAAATCTAATGACTCAAAAACAGTGATGTATTCCTAATTGGGTTCCATTGTCTGACTTTTCCCCGACAGCAGAAGCTGAGCAGGTGTTTCTGGTGCTGTTCTCTGTGATTGATAGCAGTTAAAAATACTCTGCTCCTTCTTTTAAAGGAAACTGGACTGGATAAGGTGACCTCTGAATCCTCCCGCTGTTTTCCGGTTCACACCTTTAAACGTTCCCGTTCCCATTAGAGCAGAATGAGATATATCGATGCGTTTTTAAAAGGAAACGAGAGCTTTCTTGTTGTCAAACTGTTTTATTGAGAAATCAAACATGAGAATTACAACCTCAACAATACATATTTGTTCTCTTTTTTTAAATTTTTTTTTTTGTGAACATACAACATGAAGACAATACCAAATTAAAACAAAACAAAAGTGACATAAATAAGGACATTTTCAAGACCCAATCGAAACGAGAGCTTTCTTGTTTCTGCTGTTGGGATTCACCATAAAAACCTCAGAGTGATCATGTTCAATTCTCCTCTCCTCATTACCCCTCAGGGAAGGTTTCACACTTTCATTTACCCGTTTTAAGTTCGGATCTATAGACCTTCGAGGCTTTGAATCCAAGTCTGCGAGTCATCTGGAAAATATCAGAGTGAAATGACCACCGAACATAACATACAGTGGGGGAAATAAGTATTTGAGCCCTTGCTGATTTTGCAGGTTTGCCCACTTACAAAGAATGCAACGATCTATAACTTTAATCATATGTACATTCTAACAGGGAAAGACAGAATCCCAAAGAAAATTCCAGAAAATCACATCATATGAATTAATAAAAATTGATAACCATCTGATGAGGAAAAATAAGCATTCTTTGTAAGTGGGCAAACCTGCAAAATCAGCAAGGGCTCAAATACTTATTTCCCCCAACTGTGGTTCTATCATAGTTAGAAGAGAAGAGCACAGAGATGAAAAGCAGAAAAAGATAAGTGTAAAGATAATTATAAAGTATAAGCATAAAGATAAGTGTAAAGTATAAAGATACTTCCTGTTTGAATCGCCTAAATTGAGAATCAGAGCAAAAACTAATGAATGTGAATCAGGTGGTCCGGTTCTCTTTGGTTCACTGTATGCAAAGTTTACACAGTTTTCATTCCCATTTTCCTCATTCCTCCAGTAAAGTTACTCACTCTTCAACTTCTTTCCATGTTATTTTCTACATCTGCACGTCTTCACGGGGGTCTGATTTGATCTCCATTATTTTAAAGTTCAAATGAATGATTTCACTCCTCAGATGTTCAATCTAAAAACTCATTATTTGTTTTGTCCTTCATGTGTCCATTTGGTCGTCGTTTCCCCTCAAACATTTAGCAGAATGTGAATAAAACAGGAGGATCTTCTATTTAAAGACAAAGGGGGAAAAGGTTTAAGTTATTGGTCCCCAAGATGCCTCTTTTACCAAAATATATATAGATAATGGCTTTGTTATCTCACAGAATCTGTTAATGTGAGAACACTGACATGCATCTTAAGTCTTTACTTTAAATTGCTCTGAATAAAAAAGTTTGAATGTTTATTCTAAGCCGTAAACGGGAGAAAAGCAATAATAGTTTGTGTGTCAGTAATATTTGTTTTGTATTTCCTCATCTCTGTTTTACTTAATGCTGCAGAACAGCCAGTTTCCACTTTTGGTTTTTAATAGTGAACTGGAATTATGTGAAACTGGGAACAAGTTATTGGATAAACGAGCGATTTCACATGTAATGGGATGTTATTCACTTTTTTCTGCTCTTTTTAGTGTGGATCCAGAGGAGGAAGACCCGGAAGGCCTTAAAACTGTTCAGGGTTTATGTGGGAAATGCAAATGTGTGCTAAGACTTTCATGGTAAATATTTTAAACACAGCTCTGAGATTTACTGAAGAGGAATTTACTTATTGCAACACTTTCTGTGGCAGCGTGCAAAAGTCAAAGTCGTTTCTCTACCAGAACAGAAAAACAACAATTGTGAGTTTATCCTTCCTGCAAGGTCAGGAACGATGTGCAGAT